GAATTTAAATGGAGGGAATAGGATTAAATTATGAAGTTTTCTTTGTTTCTCGATGCAAAATAAGTCAGAAAATTGGCAACAAACGCCATTAACGACTTATCCTCGCAACTTTGAAATAATGTCCCATTTTTCTGTCGTCGTTCATGAACGTGCTAATTAACGTATTGAAAAAGATTGAGCATTTTTCCTCAATTTTAATGATAATCTCGAGTGAGGTTTGCCCCTTCCGCGAAAAAAAAACAGAGATTTCGGAGAAAACAACGAGAAATACACACATTTTATAGCCACTTCTCCGTCAGTGTCGTTTGTTTCGTCAACAAACGTCACAGAGTTGCCATATGGGGACCGATCATCGCCAGCCAGGGTTGCCATCATCGTGCATATCCCAGCGTTCCATCCATAAAGTCCCCCCGAAAATTAAAGACTGACAGCAGCAAGACAGTCAATTTTTTGCAACTATACCCATCTGATGTCGAATATTGCTTCAGCATCGCGTTCGGCACGTGGACGAGCAATGGAATCCGTACTCGCAGAAACTGCAGAGGTTGCTGAAGGGCGAGAACGGGCCACAACGCGGGGAATTGCAGAACCGGTTGTACTGGCAGTACTGGCAAAACGGGCACACGTTTCCATTCCGCAGTTGGCGCCGAGCATTGTTGAGCACGCCCTGGGGCACGAATTGGGCGTCCACGACCTGAGGTGGAAGCACTAGGGCGAGTAGTGCTAGGAGCGCGTAAGAGGCGAAAAGTAGCTTGGACGATGATGACGTCGACGGCGCGTTCATTTTATTTATTTTGTTTTCACTTTATTTCTTGCGAGTTTTTGCCGGGATTTTTTTTGTTGCAACTCCAAAGGTCTTTCTCGATGTCCTTGCAACAACTCGGTTTTTTTAAATCCGCCGTTTTTTTTGTTTTCCTGTTCGAGTTGTCGCCGCCGAAAAGCTTTATGCGTTATCTGAAATTGAAGAGATGCCATGATTTAATTATTTCTCAAATGTTCGTGTCGGTCTTTGTTCATCTTCGACAGTGAGGAAAATAACACGATATATATATATATTTTTCTCAACTCGTGCAGAAGCTGCATCAAAGACGACTGGAAATATTTTTGCGAGGTATTTGATGAATTTCGTTATGAAATAGATACCTCTAGGTTGAATTGCTGATGTGCTAAACAAAATAGAGAATATGAAATTGTCATCAGATATTTTTCTTTTCTCGGATGGTGGAATTTATTTCACTCAGTATTTCTTGGATACAATTTTCCGGAGGATCAGGATAAAGCGAATATTTTTCATGAGGCATATTCATTATCTTTCTGTTTCTCTGCTATTTTCCCACCGCGTAATTTCAACTTTACATCTACACGAGAGATATTTCTGGAAGAAATTCGTTTCAATAATTGATTCTGAAGGAGGAAAATAAAGAGACGTGCACGGAAAAACGTTTTTTTTTATTTTGAGAAAAATTTGAGAATTAGACAATTTTAAATTGAATTGAAAAGTGTCTTGGATCTTCAAAAAATGTAATTTCAAACAGAAAAATCTATGGTGAAAATGCGTGATGGGAGAGCGTCCAGAAATTCACGAGCCTTTTGAATTTTACACATATTATTTAAATAAAAGTAATTAATTTTTATTGCGACGTAGAAATTTCGAGGCAGAACTTAAATATTTTTTATTTCATTATTTTAATCCGTCGAAAAAGAAAGCAGGCACATGTTTTTCAATTCAAAATTTTATTTATTTAATAAGTTTCCCATCTCTGCTCCTCTTTTAATTATGATGAATTTTCGGACAGTTTTATTAACGCAGAACACCCTTTTTTATGTAGATGTTTTTTTTTCTTTCAAAATGCAATATTTAAACGCATTTACAGCTTTGTAAAGTGACCTTGGGATGCGACGGTAGTTTTTCCCTTCCAACATGCCAGTTGCTAGGGCATTTTTCTTTTCTCTAGAAAACTACATACCGCACTTTTACAATGCCAGCAAACAAGTACAGTACCGTGCATTCATTTCTTGTTGCTGTAAAATTCACTGTAAAACACTTGCGATAACCACGAATAACTTACATAAAAATGATTTCCAGTTGAACATTGTATAGTCACATACTCATCATTGGACATCGATGACATGGATATTTAGTATCAGGGGTCTTTTTGTTTCCAATTCAATCTAAATTAACGGGTTTGCATTTCAACACACGAGTTGCTAGAAGTAGTTTGCCTTGCCTTGAAACACCTCCGAAAACATCGTCGTTGGGAATTTAGATGGAAAGATCTGAATTACTGTTATAAGAGGATGCATCCATCTTCAATCGTCGTCACGTGAATACACAAAATAAAAAATAAACTGTCAAATTTTGTAAAAGAGGGGCCTCTTTCGATAACGATCTATTACTTGTCATAAACTTGCGAGTCCTTGTGTCATCGTCCACATAAAACTGTCACTTTCGTCGATGGGGCACGAAGAAAAAAGTACTTGCGATGATATTTTCCAAATTGAGTTGAAATTATGAATCTTCATGCATGCCTAACGAAACGTAACCCTGCATAACAGTGCGACTTTGCCAAGTACTGTGTTTTTTTTTTAATTGAAAACATTCTCTGCCATCATTAGAAATTCATTCTGGCTTTACAAAAAAATATTTCATAATTTGCGACAGCCCACAATCGAGCTTCCGTAAAAAGTCGACACTGAGGACGACGTATAGCCGGAAATATATTTAATTTATGTATTCGGAAAGCACGATTTTTGATTGACAAGGGAAATTTTTTTCCTTCTCTTATGAGAAGGACACCGAATATTAGTTGTTCCTCGCCGGACACTTCCCGAACAGAGACTGAGAAACCTGTGCTCAAATTCCAACTGGTTTTTCCGTCTCGGTTCGTGTGAACACGCGGCGGGACGTTTTTTTTTCTTCTTCTCCGTTTTCTTCTTTCAACAAAGGCGTCATGCCCTTTTAAAAATAAAATGAAGATTTCAAACGCATCCCGTATTTCAGTTTCTTTTTTATTTTATTTTATGTTCCCAACGAAAGTTTATTTAAATTTGAGGGGGGAGAGGCTCGTAAATGAATTATGCTCGGGAGGATTCAACGCGACCTTCGTCGCTCTTTCTAACAATTTTCACGGTCAACTAGATTCATTCCCCAGTTGATGTCAATTCTGCATTGCTTCCTACATAAGCATACTTTATATATACTGTACTGTATATTCACTGTGATTCGCGAGAAGTGGGAACCTCTGCTGCAATTTTAATAAATGCATATGCAAAATAAAAGATGAGTTCCAAAATTTTAAACTCCTTGATGTGGATACATTTCCAGTTATACTGACCGCTACAGTGCTTCCCAAGGATAAATCGTTTCCTCGGTTAAAAAAAATAAAACGTTTCTACGCTTTCAATAAATTTATTTCTTCATAAACCCACTTCAATTTCTTTAAAAAAAATAAATTTTGACTCGAACGGCTGCTGAAGGTGATAGAAAATTGGAGCATAAATAGTGTTTAATACACGCAGACATGCGAATATAACTGGTCAATTTGAATATTGATCTCGAAAAATACCCGCATTGAAAGAAAGAAAAAAAATATGAGAGTTCTCGTTGTTGAATGGGGATCCGGGTGATGAGTGTCAAGGGCAGCAAGATTGCTTCCTCGTGCATTATTAACTCTCACCAGAAAAAATGCTGGTGTGTGATTCTTTTTTTTACGTAGGAAAAAAGTAAATAAAAGTAGATAAAGGTAAAAAGCACCAGGCTATACTTCACTTTTTTTTTTTTATTCTCCATTTTGAGGCCTTGTAAGTCCTGGTGGGTTTCCCCCTTTCTCGTTGCTAACAACGTAATGCGTTAATAATTTGCATATTTTCCGGGAAAACGTGCTTCTAAATGCTGCGTCCAAATACGAAAAAAATTTCAATGACGGTTTTCAACAAAATTAAAGCATGCCACATTTTTATGCGTTTTTTTATCGTCGCGTGTGCATTTGATTATTGTGTCAGTATATGTGTTAGAATTCTTGGGACTGGATTTTTATCAATTTCTGTATCGAGTTAAAATTGTGTGCGCAAAATCATTCATTCATGATATGACATTCCCAAATTTCATGAAGTGAGGTATAGTACTGTACTTCGTTACCTTGATAAATTACCTTTATTGGACTTGACCTAAAGGATTTACTTGTACAGTATTAAATAATATCAAGAAACTTTTGAATTTGAGCGTAGAAATAATTTATTTAAAAATAAAACGGTTGCGATGGACATCTAGGAAAATAAATTAGACTCACTGCATGTGCTCCGCGGAGCACTAAGGGCTCAACAGGGGCTCCGTGGATTGCTTAATAAAAATACTGCATTATCTAGGGAAATGTTTGAGTGAGTTCAAGAGGAAATTCCAAGATCTTCAAACAATTTGCAAGAACGTTCGTCTCCGTTGTTAATTTAGAGATGCGTTAATTTTTTTTGCCAATAAATATTCGCGATCAACGTTCTGAGGGGCTCCGCCTAATTGTTTATTTCATCAGAGACTATGTCAAAAAATGTTTCGTAAAATTGCACATCATGATGCACTTATTGGGGAAACAGCTCCAGAATAATTGTGCAGAAATGTTTTTTCTGTCAAAGTCTTTTGTAATCGTCTGTATTCAGTACAGTGATGTTCTTGATACAATAAATTAAAGATCTCCCCCTTCAAGAATTTTGAGCAATTCCTTCACGAGAATCAATGAAAAATTCATGAATCATATTTTAATCTTCGCTGAACGAAGCTCATATTGCCATTTTTCCAGTACCGTACATTCTTAGTTATTTACAGAGTAATCTTACATTGAAAAAAAAATTGAACAAGAGGAGTTCTTTGGCCGGCGTTGACAATCAGATTTAAATTCATTCGTAATTGTCGTGGAATTATAGTTTCCTGTATCTCCATCATCGCTTTCTCAGCGATAAAATCCTCTTGCATTGAACAAAGGGGGCCTTGAATAAATAAAACTAGCGCGCTGAGGTTTTTTTTTATTTCGTGTCAAAGAAAAGCGAGTTCAGTTGTCCGATTCCTTATGCACCCGGTCATTGCTGTGAAAAGAAAGAAGTGGAACAAGGACTTCTGGAACAAATTGGATGAGAGAGAGAGAGAAAAAGTAAAATAAAATATGAAAAGAGATTATGTTGACGTCGCATTTTGATCTTGACTCACGTCCATGACACACCTCTCGCAGTCAGTAAAATTGAGGCCCAGGGATACGCAGCAAAACGTGGAATTAGGTCAGGACCAGATCTCTCTTTCCTTCTTCTCTTGATGAAAGGTCAAAGACTTCCGTTTAAACTTTCGGCCTCTTTGACACAGGAAAAGAAATCCTGTGTGTACATGTAATGCGCGTGTTTGATGCGCCCGTGGCTTCTTTTCTGCTGGGTCGTGGATGCCAAAGAAGGATGTGATGATGGACTTTCGTGTTCCCTCGTCCACCTTTTTTTTTCAATGCATTTATTTCTTGTTGTATTAATTTATTTTTTGAGGACGTGACGAGCCCGGGGAAGCTGTGTGAAGGCTGTTCTTCTGTCCTGTATCCGCGAGGCAACCGTGACCGTGAAAAATAACACTATCTCCGGGGCCATTGCGCAACAGCAGCAGAGGCCCCACTCGTGTTTTGGACAGGGTTGACCTGAAATAAAAAGAAAACCCGAGTTATGCGTCCCATTCCGAACACGCACATAACAAAATGTGAAGGGTGAAGAGTCGATGAAAAAGAAAGTGAGACCCCCACATGCGGACGCCTCAAGATGGGGACATTTATTTTTTAACAAAAAAATCATAAAAAAGACCTGACATGAGGACACTGACTCAACCTGGGGACATTGCAGGATAAAATTCCAAAATAAATTTTAGGAAAATCGATTTTTATAAGGCTTAATTGCAAGAAACAGATGTTTCCAACCTATTGAATCAAATTCAAGTGGCAAACAATTTTTTACATGCAATTCTGAAGAATATTTCTTCCATAAAACACCAATTAAAAATTATACAATGTAAGTCTATGGGAAAACAAGATTCGACTTGGGGACAATCCGACTTGGGGACACTCTTGATGCACCAATTATGTCCGCATCTGGGGGTCTCACTGTATAGTCTTTACTCTGGCTTCATTTATTAAATGGCCGACGCGGCTCTAGACGCACGGAAACGCGAAATTTTCTTCATGCCATGTGATACACCCGCAAAAAATAGAGTAGAATATCCGTGCAAATAATCTCATTATAACGAATGATTGGTTACAACGCAGCAGTCGTTTTTATAGCAATCGCTTCGATGAATAGAAGAAGCTTTTCCCCGGTCCCAACAGCTTCGTTGTAGTGAGATTTTCCTCATATACATTGAAGCCTTGCTCGATAGAATATCTTCAATTATTTAATTAGCTCTATTAATGTGTTATATTAAAACTTGAAATAGCGCTTCACATTAAATTCCAAAAGCTGAACATGATCCCTGATTGTTTTCCCCTGTGAATTTGTACGAAGAACGGAAGAAAGATTATTATTTCCATGAACAATTAACTCATTATTATTCCTTTTCACTTATTTTACTCTACCTCAGAAGGATTTCGGGAAGCAAAATATCCAGCATTTCAAAACTTTCAATGGACTATCTATTTTGAAACGTCAAACTCAGTTCATTTGAATATTGGATGCATCTCGTCAAACTTTAGTCCACTTTCAGGGGAAAAAAAGTAAGACTGGAGTCTCTTATTCCCATATTATATTTCGCGAAACACGGTACTGTAAAAAGTTCCGTAACTGCTGCAGCTTTTTCTTTTTCCACTTCAAAACGTCATGAAATTTTTTATTTATTGCCAAGTATGAATTGAGCGTCTTGTAGCATGTATCGATGATAACCCCTAAAAAAACGCGTAATTACTGCCAACAGTCAGGCGTTATGTAGAATAATTGCGTTATCATTAGGTCCAAAGTCATTAGGCTGTTCATTAGCAGCCCGAGGTAAAGTTGAATCTTTAAAGCTGAATAAGAGCGTGACGTGTTTGCCAAGAAAGTATTGTACCTTGAAAATAATATAAAAATATATGTCCGTGAAAAATGCGGGAACGATTCAGTAGTTCGCCTCAAATGATGTTGTGCTTGAGGTGCAAAAAAGTTTTATACTATTATGCAAGATTTTACAATTTAAAAAAAGTATTAAAGGCATATTTACGGCTTCTTGTTGATTAATCAATTCATAGTTGTCCGGTTATTGAACACAGCAGTGCGAATTTAAATACATTCAGTTGCTATAAATGGGGATTAAAGTAGCGATGAAGGCTGCTATTGTTAAATTGATAGAAAATTATTTATTTTCACTTTTGAAAAATGTTTCCTAGAAATATATCTAGAATCAAAAACTTGTAGCATCCATGAGGTGCATTTATTAAAACCCGATTCTCATTCAACGCAAATATTGAAAATGCTCGGATTTTTACTGTCGCGAATATTTCAACGGATACATTAAATTCGATACGCTAGCTTTGAAGAACCCGAATTCCCCGACGAATTTAGTCTTTCATTTCGTATCTGTGTGGGAATCTCGGAAACAAATGAAATAGATGCGCACCACGTTTAAAGTTATTTTTTTGCTTTTGGAAAATGTGGTTTTTTAGATTAATTTTTTAATCTACTAAATTTTTATTTTTGTGAAGTACCGCCTTGACAATAATATAAAAATATAAGACCGTGAAAAATGTGGGAATGATTCAGTATAGTTTGCCTCAAATGATGTTGTACTTGAGGTGCAAAAAGGTTTTATACTATTATGCAAGATTTTACAATTTAAAAGAGTATTTAACGCCTATTTTTGGCTTCCTGCTGTTTAATAGATTCATAGTCGTCCGGTTGAAGTCAGCAATGCGAATTTTAATACATTCATTTGCTATAAATAGGGATTAAAGTAGCGGTACATTTGTATGTGGATTATTCAAGTTTGAAGGCTACTATTGTTGAATTGATTAAAAAATATTTATTTTCACCTTTGAAAAATGTTTCCTAGAAATATATCTAGAAGCAAAAACTTGTAGCATCGATGAGGTGCATTTATTAAAACCCTTCTTCTTATTCAACGCAAATATTGAAAATGCTCGGATTTTTATTTTCGTGAGGATGGAACGTGTATTCTTCCTGTTTTGTTTTTTTCAGAGAACCCTGTAGAATTCGTTTTTTGACACGTAGAAACGCCTCTGGTTTATTCAGTTTGGACTCCGGTCTCAAGTTTCATCTTGAGAAGAGTCCAGAGGCTGTTGGCTTTAGGGGGACTCACTCAGTCAGGCGGGGTTTTACATGTTTCAAAAGCAAAAATAAATAATAAAAAGGCATGTGCTTTGATTTTTCAAGTGTTTATTGGATATACTGTACGTGTATATTTCTTCACTGAGGTTTCTGGGTCACGGAGTTGGCCATTGCGCAGAAATCGGCGACTCGGCGAGCCTCGCAATTCTGCACACAACCAAAGTCTGTCCTCGAGCCCGCATAATGCGGCGCAAACACATCAATCGATTCCGAGTCGGAACTGGAGCAATCGTCGTCAGGCTGTCGGTGTCCAAAGCCAAAGGATTCGTTGGTGATGTTTCGCGGTTTTGCCGCGCTGACACTCGTAGAGTCACCGCCGTGTTTCATCAAAGACTTGAACAAGCGCTTCTTGAGTCGCTCGGCAGCGATGCTGAGCAATCCGCTAGATGTCGACGCCGAGGTCATGTGCTGCTGGAATCGATGAGCAGCGCCACCTGCTCGCGTCCTCGCATCACCGCCACTGTTTTGCGTCTGGGATACTTTGGGCTTTTCACTGAGCATTGCCTGCGTCACAGTGGCGCCTCCTTGGTGTCGCTGTGACGACGATGACGAAGAGCATCGCCTGACTTGGTCGTAGAGTGCAAAGAGGAAGAATGTCGCGAGGATTCCGATGCTGGCGCCGAGCCAGAAAGGAACTCCTTCGAAGAAATCTATGGACTTCTTGGGACAGATGTCACTCCGTGTTCCCTTCTCCGGTTTGCGCGTGTGCGCGCGGTCTGCGCCGGCGCCATGTCGTTTAGAGCTCGCATTCACCGTCACAGGTCGAATATGCTCTACGATATTGTCATCCTGTATTCTTTGATGCCTCGTTGGGGGTAGAAATAACGGCGCGGGTGTTGAAACAGTGTCATGAATACTGGGCTCCTCTTCATCCCCCAACATAGCTCTGAATTCTGGGGCAGACAAAAGTGGGTCTATATCTGGAACTGTGAACCCAGTTGTCCTGTGTTTGTGACTGATTGTAGAATAGTCATTGCTGGTGTCAGTTTCCTTTGGAGGGAATAGGTTTTCTTCTGGGAGCAGTGCTGAGGTGTGCAGAAGTCTTTCTAGGGGGTCCTCTGTGGGTGTTATTGGTAGGATTGGTTTAGTGGACCCTTGATTTCCCCCTAACCTAGATATTTCTCTTCTGACAGCTTCCATGCCTTGCTGAAGTTCAGCTTTAGTGTCTTCAGTGGCTGTAGCAGGAGTTGACCTTATTTCTCTGGACTCATTGATGGGACTTGGCTGTGAGATATTAAAGATAATTTTGCCATCATTAGTTTTCATATAAATATAAAATGTACAAAAATCAAGAAAGTATCTGATCTCTTGAAACTGGAAATAAACAAACATGATACCCCCAACCCTTTTGAATGAATATTTTCAATTATTCAGAGGAATCAGCCATAACAATAAAATTACTAATGCATAAAACAAGAATGTTATTGAACCCCTATATAACACCAACCTCCTTGAGTCAATTGCCTCCATTCATTGATTACAGTATTTTTCAATTTTATGTCTGAATTCCCATTGAAACAATGTACAGCACAGTGATTACAAACTGCCATAACTCCAAGGCTTTTGCCCTCATATCTATATAACTTGGATTTTTTTAGGCCTTTTGTCTATTGCTTTTGTGACCCAGGGAAAAGAAAAGCAATGAAAAATTAACTTGATTTTTGAAGAGGAATGGAAAATGAATCAAATCAATGAACCTTTGCCTTCAAGTTCAGGATCCTTGTAAAAACAAAAATATTAATAATTTAACTTCCTTCAATTCTTCTCTTTTTGAAGGGAAAGTTTCCCTAACTCTAAACCTTTCAATTTTAAATTGTTTGCTGGCCTCTTGGAATTTCACTTTAAGAGGTTCAGCTGTATGTCAGGTTGTGAGGCTCAAGTGAAGTTTGGTTCTTGTTGCTGATTTGGATTTTTTCCTTTAATTCAAACACCTCACTTACCCAAGTGCCATGTGTTCTTGTGTAAGAGGTACAGTAAATATCTTGATGTTTATGTGAAATTCCTGTTATCTCAGTACCTACTTTCTGTGCACATACCAGAAACTGTGAATTTCATTTTTCCGCATTCTGCTGAAACTGATTTTGGGAGGTGGTTAGGTAAAGTTAGATTAGGTCAGGTTATGTTAGTTACAAATATCTTTCAATTAACATAACCTGACCTAACCTAACCTAACAAATACTGAATTCACGAGACAAAGAAAAATGTGTACTGAGATAACAGGAAAGTACCAAAATTTGCCCAAAATCTATTTTTCTGTCTTCATTTTTTGTAAGTTTCTCAAAATTTCCTTTTTTTTCGAAGAAATCAATAATTTTTAGGTTATGGTTTTATATAATTCTGGAAAGTCTCGGTCAATGACAGAGTTTTACAAAGCTACAACAATTATTTGAGTCTACTTTCCGGTTTTCTAGCATTTCGACTGGCTTCAATGTCCTCTTAAAAATTTAGTAGAAACACACTAACCACTTCATTGCTGTCCTTCCTTCTTTTGGGATATTCCAACCAATACAAGGGATTGATGTAGTAAGTTCGATCCTTCCAGGCATCTTTCACGCTTTCAGGCAAATCATCATTTGGACGCTTTCTTCCAACTGGTGCATCCTTCAAAGCCGAAGGAGTCGATGGATTTGACCCAATTTTTTCCACCATATTAGAAAAAGTGACGCTTAGATTTTTCCCGGCTTCCGTATCGTCCAAAACCTGCTGCTGTGGAGTCTCCTGTTGTGGCTCATCTTCAATAATTGCTGCTGGACGGATGAGGATCTTTTCCAGATTCATTTCAGGGTTAGAGGCCCTGATTCGTTGCCAGTTTTCATCCTGACCTTGGTCATAGTAAACGGGTTCAGGAGTGATGTAAATTGGTTTTGACTGATGCCCAATCCATGGCACATTGCTCCACTTTGGCCTGACGTAAGGACGCGAGATCACAGTTGGCTGACATGTGAGAAGCATAGTGAAAGATATCAAGGAAGGTTGAACAACTGGCATCATCATTATCAAGGGATTAAGATGTTCACTTTAGTTTCATAATGATGTATAGGGGAGACTGACTTTGTGAAGGTTTGGTTATAATGAATGCAATGGGTGCTTGTTTTGTGGTGAACTGCACTTTTTTTTTAGATGCCTGAAATTAGTCTTACAGTGTTTGAAGGTTGCCTTCTTCTTTTGTTTTTGAAATGATGGGCTGAATTTGATGTGAAGAAGTGGTCTTTGTGCAAGTTGGCCAAAGAAATCTTGTAGCTACATCTTTCAACTGCCCATTTTAAAGTGTTTTCAATTGAATAATGAAAAGGTTTAAATATTGGCCTCATTTCGCAGTCAATTCCTACAAAAGTGCTTAATGTGTAGTTTTTAATCCGTATATGTAAGCTTGTCGAAACTCTTCAATATTGAAAAAGCACGAAAATACATTGTTCATTGGATTGAATAATTTTCATATATGGAATAAGTGCGCAAATGAAATTCCTGAAATTTTGGGGAAAAGTTCCGAATGTTTCCAGTCTGCATGGATTTATGCATTGAAATTGTCATATTACTGATGGGTATATTTCGCATGGTCTGAATGCCCTTGAGTAAACAAAAAAAGAACATTCCTGTGGCCCTGAATTATGGCTAATGAGTTATTGAGACAGGACAGGACAGATTTGCGAAACGATTTTTTTTAAAATCCTTTATGGACTTTCAAGAACAGAAATTTAGGAAGGTTTTCAAAATAGGGTGTCTTTAAGATGGGATGAGTTTATATGCTTGGATTTTACCACATGACCAGCAGCAGAGTTTAGGTGAATTTTGCATGTAATTTGAAAACTTATTCAAACGATTTTCACGTCAATTTCATGCTACCTTAGAAGTACAGTATTTGTTTTAATTTTTATATAGCATTGATGAAAAAGCAGTTTATCATCTGCAGGATTTTAGACTGCTTCATGTGAAAGTCACGTAAGTATTTTTAGAACTTTCATCAGTTAATTGAAAAGGTATGGAAGAAGATTATGTTGTAAACAATTGCTCTGGCAAATCCATCATAGTTTTAATAAATTCCTTGTACAGTATATACTTCATGAATTACTCCTTCTTGTTCAACGCTGATTCCCTTGTGAAAAATGAAAAAATAAAAGTATGTTTCCGCCCGGGGTCGAACCGGGGACCTTGCGCGTGTGAGGCGCACGTGATAACCACTACACTACGGAAACTTCGTGGTGTTCTATGGTTTTTGAAAGATATGGATACCAGTTTGAATGGACAGGGCTTTATAGACTTCTGGATTAGTTATATTTGCCGCAATAGACCAGGAATAGAACTCGAATTTCAGCGGAGGTCTCTCGTTATTCATGCGAAGGCTGTAAGACCAGTTCATTACATACGTTCGCAACTGACCATCAGGCTACACTTGCTTGTTATATATGCTGCTCGAGGACGCAATATTCGAGTAATTGGACCCGCATTAACAGCATCGGGGGAATTGTTTGCGGCCCAACTGGCCAGAAAATCTCTTCCCTTCTCTCTCTCTCTTTCTCTCCGCATTACTCTCATATTATCCCCCAGCGCTCTTTTCTATCGCATATCATATACCGTATATATACACGAGATGCTTGACGAGACGCAGCATATTTGCAGCAGCCTTAAACACGTGTGAGCTGGGCATTGATCACCCTGCTTTTGTTGTCGCTGTTGGAGGGAGAGAGAGAGGCTTCATGTGTGTATAGTGAGGACGAGATTGATATCACGATAGTCGCGGGTGCGAATTTCCCGCTCTCATGGGAATATGTTGCAGCTCTCACTCCCTGGAAAGAGGTTCCTGCATACGGTATCTTTTTGTGTTTTTTTTTCTTTCATTTTCGGGATTCCCAGGGCGCAAATCTTTTTATTCATCGCGTTCCGCAGGTTCATGTAGCCGATGAGGGGGGGTTGCGACGGGGACCAGCTGGGGGCTAAGCTCAGGCTTGTGCAGCCAATTAGGGAGTTATAGTCAACTATACTGTTGTTCTGGGTACGTCTCATACAGTGTAACTTTTTTTTCTTTAGCAATATAATTTAAAGTTAAATGCACATTTTATTATCGAATTGATTGAATATAACCTTATATATATATATATATATATATATAATATATATATAAGATTATATTCTATCATATATATATATACAGTATATATATATACAGTATATATATATACCGTATAACACACTTGGAGCAAAGAGATTTCCCAATATGTTTTGCATCACAAATACAAAACAAAGATTGTGTGTGTTGGGCTGAGAGTAATAAAGAAAGCATCGAAATTACAGTACACAACTTATGCTTCTTTTTCCCATTTTTAGTTATACTTAGTATTATTATTCTTAAAAAATTATATTTTCAGTCAACAAAAACTGGGGTGCGCATCAAGGGGATATATTTTTGGCCAATTTTTGCATCAAAAAATGGGGGTGCGTGCCTTACTTGAGGGTGCATGGTACTTGAGTAAATACAGTATATACATATATATATATATATATATATATTGATATATTGAAACATTAAAATGCTGAAACAGGTTGCAAACAGGGATTTCACGCGATATTTTCATCATTGAGCTATAGTAAAGATTCTAAGTGTGGGGCAAAGACATGAGTAATTTAATCAAATGAAAAGTTTAAAGAAGTGGGATATACATTTTCATTTCCTACAGCAGAAAGTAATATTTTTTTGTCATATTTGAATGAATCAAATATAGTTTCAAAGCTGGTAACGGTAAGACTGAGTAAACTGATAAGTGCACTAAATAAAGTTTCATAGAGATCTGAGATGCTCTTATCTTCCTCATACAGTATATGAGTAAAAATATGCTGGTGGAAAAATGCTTACCACCAAAATAATATTGTGACAAAAGTTCTAGTTATTCCATTAAATGAAGCAAAAAGTGTACTTTCATGCACTAAGAACATGATGATATTTGTTCATCAACTTTCCCCCAATAGCTTTACTGCAAGAAAGGTGAGGCAAAGTTTTGGATTATTTCATGGAAACTCTTGGAACAAAACATCTTATTTTTTTTGGGTGTGCTTTTAGTTACTAAACAAAATTTTTAATTTTCATTAGCTGGAATGCTTATATAATTTAGATTGCTTATAATTTAGAACTACAGTGAGACCGCAAGATGCGGACATAATTGGTGCATCAAGAGTGTCCCTAAGTCAAAATGTCCCTAAGTCAAGTCTCATTTTCCCTTAAAATTAGCTAAATAGATGGTAAATTGGTGAGAGAAATGCCCAAGAACTTTTCTTACATCAATTTTAGGGTTTGAAACATCTGTTTCATGTAAATTTGCTTGAAATTTATTTTCAATTTAATCACAAAATGTCCCTATGTCAAGTCAATGTCCTTATGTTGGGACTTTTTTGTGCTTTTTAATGGTAAAATAAGTGTCCCTAGGTTGAATTGTCCACAGGTCAAGGCGTCCGCATGTGGGGGTCTCACTGTATGCCAACTATTTATTTTACAAAATTTCAAGGTTTTGTAATCAAAAATATTTGCAAGCTGGATTCCAGTTGTAAGCCTGTACATAAATCTTACATATATCAAGTTCATTTTCTGAAAATTATGTTAGCAGGGGCATTTTTTAGCCAAGACAACTTTGTATACATATAGACTTATACAGTACAGTATTTTTTCATTTTTTTTACACTTCATTTTGTCTAAATAATGAGTGGAGTGCAGTATCATGATTAATTTCAAAAGAGAATGTAAGAAAAACTAAGGCCACTCAATAAAAAGCTTCATTTCAGTTTCAGTATCAAACATAGAAAATCCATAATAACAAAAGCCATAATAAGCCTAACTAACCAAACCCAAATTTGTTCGAGCCTAACTAACTTAACCCTAGTATCTTCCCTTTAAAAACTCGAAACCTTGGTTTTATGTTGATCGCCGAGGGAAAATAAAAAGCCGGAAGTGCGCCGTTTGATGTCCTGCGCAGTTTAACATCCCAACTCCGCATGCCAAAAAAAATTAGATAAAAAATAAAGTCGGACAAGTAAAATGCATGCGATGCTGTTGCTGCTGCTGGACTTGACTCCGTGCAACTGCGACTCTCTCGCATCACAGACACGTGCCTCGTCGTCGTTGTCGCAAAAAAAAAAGAGCGAGAATAAATCTTGAGCCGATAAAGGGCAACACACGTCACAACCAGCGTACACGTATTGTACTCCTGTTCGTCTGAATTAACGCACCAAAAAAAAAAAGGAGCGAGAGAGAAAATTTCCTGACTCACGGTTCCGTATTTTTATAATCCCACGTCTCGTCGCAAATTGAGATGACGAGAGAGGGACTCATTGAGTTGCAAATACGCGTCACTCAGGCACGCGTTTCTTGAATCGCCGACGTCATCTTGGCTCGTTTCCGATCGATCAAACGTCACACAAACACGCATTAAAAAAAAAAAAAATATATATATAGACGAAACTTGCTCGTCTTCTCCTACTTTTTATCCTTCGTCAATTTATTCATGATCCCGACGGTTGCTGCAAAATTTTTCGCATCCCAGAAAAGCGCGGGCAGAAAATGACGAATATACTGTGCAAATTTGACTAGAAAGGCTTTTTAAAAATAAAGTAGTTGTCGACTGAGAGGATATTGAACTCCTTTCATTCTTGAAAAAATGCGGGAAAAGTATTTATTTTCCCATTTATTCAACGTTTTTGACACTTCGCGCATAATATTTTTTGTCAAGTAGTGTTTAAGTGCACATATTATCAAATGCATAGACGTTTTGCAGTATAATCCGGTGCTGCAAATTATTTTCTGGTCCTATTTTTTTGCTGGTGCGTTATCGTTCACTATTCCTGATTTCATTTAATTTTGTCGTCAATTCCGCGTTTTTTTTTTGTGCTTGCGTCGTTTTTTGGAAGCGCTGAAGTGGTTGTGCACGAGACCCCGAGATGCGGACGTAATTGGTTCATCAAGAAGTGTCCCTAAGTCGAGTCTAATTTTCCCTTAGACTTGCATTATAGAATTTTTATTGGTGTTTTATGTACAAAATACTCACCATAATTCCATTGTTATCCCAAACTGCCGGATGTAAATAAAACTTTGTAAGAAACGGGACAAGAACGTCTTCTTGTTTTCAGATCTTTAAGTTCTATCTGATGATTACTCGTTGAGATAATCCTTGTCGA